CATACTTGGAGTTACGACAAGAGCTCTTTAATGAGATAATGAGAGTGTCACAAGCAACCATTAGTCAAAACGAAATTCTACTTAATTGGCCAAAAGGTAAACGAAAGGGATCACCTGCACCCGGCCAGGGTATATAAAGAGCCCAGAGGCAGAGGAGGACATTCACACCTGAGAACACCCAGCTCCGCTCAACAGCCCACCCCACACCAGTCTCAGACACCACCATGTGCGGCTCCTGCTGCGGATCCACCTTCTCCTCCCTGAGCTGCGGGGGAGGCTGCTGCCAGCCCTGCTGCTGCCAGCCCTGCTGCTGCCGCGACCCCTGCTGCTGCCGCCCCGTGACCTGCCAGACCACCGTGTGCCGCCCCGTGACCTGCGTGACCCGCTGCACGCGCCCCATCTGCGAGCCCTGCCGCCGCCCAGTGTGCTGCGACCCCTGCTGCCTGCAGGAAGGCTGCTGCCGCCCCATCACCTGCTGCCCCACGTCGTGCACCTCTGTGGTCTGCAGGCCCTGCTGCTGGGCCACCACCTGCTGCCAGCCTGTGTGGGTGCAGTCCCCCTGCTGCCGGCCCCCCTGCGGCCAGCCGGCCCCTTGCAGCACCACCTGCAGGACCTCCACCTGCTGCTGAGCAGTACACTGACTGCCTGGAGCACGCAAGTCACCTTCTGAAAAAGCCACACTCCCGTTTCTCTGCCTGACAAACCTCCTGCCTGAGCCTGCAAGATCCCACATCAACCAAGCTGGAACCGATAACCGGGCTCATCTATTAAAACCTGGGCCATTCTGCAGCCTTTGTAAAAGAAGCAATTTCCTTCCTCCCATCTAAGATTTTGTGGCATGTGTCCTTTCTAATAAATATCTGTTCTTTGGCCTTGCAAAGAGCTTTGGTTTTATTTACTCATTCTAATATTTTGTATTAAATGTATTTTTATTTTAAAAAAACGGACACAAAATTGTACATATTTATGGGGTACAGCGTGATGTTTCCATACATGTGTACATTTTGTAATAATCAAATTAGGGTGTTTAGGATATTTATCACCTCATACATTCATCATTTCCTAATGGTAAGAACATTTAAAATCTTCTCTGATAGCTATTTTGAAATATATGACACAATATTAATAACCGTAGTTGTCCCTACTGTACATTAGAGTACCAAAATGTATTCCTCCTATCTACCTGTAACTTTGTACCTGTTGACCAGCCTCTCACCCTCTCTCACCCTCCCCAGCCTCTGGTAACAACTATTCTACTCTCTACTTCTATGGGATTAACTTGTTTAGATTTCACATAGGTGTGAGAGCATGTGTGATTTGTCTTTCTGTGCCTGGTTAATTTCACTTAACATAAGGTCCTCCAGGTTCATCCATGTTGTTGCACAAGACAGTATTTCATTCTTTGTTTCATGACTGATAGTATTTCATTGTGTGTGTATCTGTGTATGTGAGTGTGTGTCACATTTTCTTTATCCATTCATCCACTGATGAACACTTAGATTGTTTCTGTGTGTTGGCTGTTATCAATCGTGCTGCAGTAAACATGGAAATGTAGATGTCTCTTCAACATACTGATTTCATTTCCTTTGGATATATACTCAATCGTGGGATTGCTGGATCATATGGTAGTTCTATTTTTAAATTTGGGGGGACCCTCTATACTGTTTTCCACAATAGCTATGTTACTTTACATTCCTTACAGTCCTGTATGAGTTCCTTTTTTTCCAATCCACACCAGCATTTGTTTTTTTTTTTTTTTTTTGTATTTTTGATAATAGCCATTCTAATTGGGGTGAAATGGTATCTCATTGTGGTTTTAATTTGCATTTCCTGATGATTGGTGATGTTGAGCACTTCTTCATATATGTGTTGGCCATTTCTATGTTTTCTTTTGAGAAATATCTATTCAGGTCTTTTACCTTCTTTTAATTGAAGTTGTTGTTATTATTCACTGTTGAGTTGTTCAAGTTTCTTGTATATTCTGCATATTAACACCAGTCAGATGTAAAGTTTGAAAGCAATTTTTCCTATTCTCTAGGATGTCTTTTCACTCTGTTGATTTGATTGTTTCCTTAACTGTACAGAAGGCTTTTAGTTTCATATAATCCCATTTGTCTATTTTCACTTCTGTTGCCTGTGCCTTTGAGGTCTTATCACCACCAGAAAAAGTCATTGCCCAGACCGGTGCCATAAAATGTTTCATGTATGCTTTCTTCTAGTAGTTTTATTATTTGCAGTCTTATACTTAAGTATTTAATCCATTTTGGGTTGTCTTTAATACGTTGATAAATAGGGTCTAAATGTGCTGCTTGCCTACCATATGCAAGTCACAGGCTACATGGTATAAAATAAAAATTAAAATTGAATTTAAAATGTTCCCCTCCCCAAAAAACTTCTAGGGATGTGAGTCAAATTCACCTATAACTCATCTAAGAAGTAGAATATGAAAAAATAAAAGTACGACGTACTATGTGGTGTCAACACAGAAATCACTACTGATTGGGGAAAATAAGAAAGATTTTTTTAAAAAGCTAACATTTTAAATGGGTTAACATTGTGGTGCCCAGATCAGAGGGATGGCATTCTCAGTAATAGAAATAGTATGAGCAAACGTATGGAGGGAGCGGACCACAGGATTGTTCAGAGTACAGTTTGCCTGGGGGCACTGGATATATGGAGAGTGATCAAGAAAGAAGGATTTGGAAAATTTGCATGCTTTGAATACCAGCCAAGTGAGTCCACCATTAATGCAATAAGCACTAAGGAGCTGTTGAAAGTTTTGGAAAAGGAGAATGGTATAGCAAGTGCTGGGCATTGGGACAATTCTCATGATAGCTCCTTATATAGACAGAGGTCAAAGGCCAGAGAAGTAAGTCCTACAGAACTATGCAAAAACTAATCAGAAAGACATTGCCTTGATCCAAGTGATGTACAATAAGAGCTCAACTAAGATGTTACCCATGGAATAACAAAGACACAATGAGTATGGAAGACATAGAAACCCAGAAAGTATATCAACTTAGCTGAATGTGGGAAATGAAAAACAATTAGGAAGCAAATGTGACTTATTGCAATTATAAGTCTCTGGTGCAGACACTTAAAAGAACTTTAACATATTTATACTTATTTATTGTGTATTTAAAAAAATCGCTATTCCACAGTGTAATCTGTTTACCATATAATATTTCTATTCTTGAGCTTTTAGAAAAAAAGACAAAGACAAAGAGCTTTACTAACATTAATTGATTCTGGAAAGCAACATGATATAAAATAAAAAGAACTGGTTTAGGAACGAGTGATAAGAGTTTTATACCTAGCTCTTCTGACTGTGTGCCGTGTGAAAGGAGCAAATCACTTAACTTCTTCAAATGGTAGCCATCCCCAGACTCAAGAGTATTCTAACATCAACCAATGTTAAGTGAAAATGAAAAGCGCTCCATACCACACAAGCAATGTTTCCATTTAGAACTTTGAGAGGAAATGGTTCTATGCAAAACTCTTTTCCTTAATTGATCCCTCCTATTGCTGCTACATTGATTTTTACACTAGAGCAAGATATGAGACAAACAAATGGGGCCTTGCTTTCTGTATAAGCCTTGCTTTCCGTAGAAGTTAATAAATATGTGCCATTTATAATAAGAATGATGTCAGTTTCTACACCTATAAAATTAAGTAGTGGAACAAGATACTTTACTATGTTTTTGATCTCCAATATTCAGTGATTACATATAACCATTTTCAACTTCATACCTACAGTCACGGTTACCACATGACATGAACATCTTTACTGAAGCTGGTATGAATCACATTTTAATATAACCCCATTCCTGTACATACGAATACCACCACTTCATAAAAAGCTAACTATGTGTTTCTGTTCATAATTGGAAGGGAGAAATAAACCTACCCCAAGTAGAAATAATATGTTTTTTGACCAGTCTTTTAAAATTATCTCATGTAACCCTAAACTCCCAGTGGAAAATCACATTGTTTCTTCTGCCAATGACCAAGAATTGTTTTAACTTTTATTTTGCCGAAATTTATCTTCATTTCTTTGCATTTATTATACTACACCTCTTAAAGTATATTTGGTCACCCATTTTCTAACCTGCCTTATAAAATAGATAAAAGTATTTTCTAACTCTTGCTTTTTCTTTGATTGATTCCCCTTCCTAAATTCAGTTGTCATGCTCTTTGATCTAATACTTTTTCACAGGACACATGGTTTAGTGACATAAAATGACGTAAATTAAAAGTAAATTCTGTCTTTGAGAAATTATATGCCAGATAATTCACATACCAGTGATTTTTGTCTTTCATAGAGAAGTGTAAATTTTATTAAAATATTTTGCAATCTTTTTCCAATTATCGAATATGAATTTTAGCCTCTCTCTGAAGAGACACTGGAATGAAATGGGTTTTGTTTTATATATCCTCCTGAGTGATCAATGTTTCCTCAAATACAAATGTGAAGTTTAGGAGATATCACAGAAATTGGAAAGATTTCATTTCAGGAGAAATCTATGAATTTCTACGAATGTGTAGTTTATCAAAGTTTCTATCTGTAAATAAGATTATATAGAAAGAGTATAATCTTATTAGTCTAAAAAATATAAAGACAGTCTTACATGAAGGACAGTGATGATTAACAATTCTTTTCTGGAGACTTGAGGTTTGGTGAATATGAGCCCCAGAATCACAACATCTTTTGGGTGAGAGTCACCTCATCAGGTGATACACCCACAAGTGCAAAACTGAAGCTGAAGCTCCAGTGGAAATTATACCATTGTTAGGAAACAAAATAACATTTTTACCAAGGACAAACACATTTGGTGAGCATTAGCTGAGCAATAAGGAAAATCAATTTAGAGATATATTTAAAACAATCCAGCATTTGAACAACCAGAGGGCCCTCAACAGGCTGGTTTAAAGAGTAACAAGATAAAAATGCTGCTCGCCACAAACAGAGGAATTGGCCAAGGCTTATAAAAAGCCCAAGGTGGAATAGGCAGCCATAACTCAGAAACTCCTCCAAGCAACCCAACCTTCAGACCAACTCCCGACACCATGGCCTGCTGTGAGAACACCTGCTGCGGATTTCCCAGCTGCTCCACCAGTGCAACCTGTGGCTCCAGCTGCTGCCAGCCAAGCTGCTGCCAGACCAGCTTCTGTGGATTTCCCAGCTGCTCCACCGGTGGGACCTGTGGTTCCAGCTGCTGCCAGCCAAGCTGCTGCCAGACCACCTGCTGCCAGCCAAGCTGCTGCCAGACCAGCTCCTGCGGAACCGGCTGTGGCATTGGTGGTAGCATTGGCTGTGGCCAGGAGGGCGGTTGTGGAGCTGTGAGCACCCGTATCAGGTGGTGCCGTCCAGACTGCCGTGCGGAGGGCACCTGCCTGCCAGCCTGCTGTGTGGCAAGCTGCACACCCCCATCCTGCTGCCAGCTGCACCATGCCCAGGCCTCCTGCTGCCGCCCATCCTACTGTGGGCAGTCCTGCTGCCGTCCAGTCTGCTGTTGCTCTGAGCCCACTTGTTGAAAACCTCCTTCTGATGGGAATCCTGTTAAGATGGCACTTCAAAGCTAACCAAATTAGAATCCTAACAAACTCCTGAACTCCAGTCCTATAACTGGGTTTGCAACCTCTCATTACACAGCCGTGTAAATTCCCTAGGATGTAAATGCATTTACAAGGGAAGACCAAAAGTCTTTCCTAAACCTGGATGTCAGTCAAAGTCCTACAATGTGAAAAGAGTTGCATAACATTTTACTATAAATATCATCTGAAATATTTCAGTGGTTGTTGTGACTTAGATTTAATAAAATTTTTTATCTTTTCAATGATGAAGTCGTTGTTAGAACTTTCTTGGCTTTGGAATTTGTTAAAGATATTGGGGCACTGGGATTTTTCAAAAATATCAACATGGCATGGCACTATGGTTTTTTGGTGTTTTTGCTCTTTTAATGATGATCTTTAAAAGTAATTTTCCTTTGTTTTACCATCAAATGGTCCAGTATTTTTGCAACCAAGGCATATGATTAAAGGAACATGACGACACTTAGGAACTGTTTCCTGAGGTCCTCACATGTGCAAGGTGGTGGGCTGGGTGTTCCAACTGATTGATTTTATAAAAAGGAACTTCATGTCATTCAGCTTCTTGAGGTTTTGTCAAATCTATTCATCCATTCATTTATACAGGAGGCTGTGTACAATTATTTCTATCAACTAAGATATACAAAAGCATAACACAAATTGTGAAAGATCACAAACACAAGATTATAGAGTAACAGCACATAACAAATATAAACATTTTCATTCAAGGTCCTGGGTTCATAACTCCCATAGCCTTAGTTATGATTTTAGGGCACTTTAGACTTCAGATGCAGGCCTCAGAAAACAGGATCTCTCTCTCTCTCTCTCTCTCTCTCTCTCTCTCTCTCTCTCTCTCGCTCTCTCTCCCTCCCCCTCTCCCTCTCTCTCTCACATTCTCCTCCCCTCTTTTTATCTGCTCCTTTTACTCTTCAAGGCAAGAGTCTTCCCTCACTGTTTTTGACACTGACCATCAAGATATTCTCCTACCTACCTTGTCTGATTGTAGGTCATAAGATTTCCCATTTCAGAAGAGGTTCTGCTCCATGTCCTGGAGGAAGGAAGGCTGCTGCACAGAGAGACCAAAAAGGATCTGAACAGACAGGCTTTACTGGGTTTCACCACTCACTCTACTAGCATTAGATCATATCCTTTTTGTCCAATCATGTTTCTAATGGTTGTTCATCATGCCTATCCACGGAAGTCTCCATAAAATGTCCAAAAAAAAAAAAAAAAAAAAAACACCCACAGAGTTTCAGGAGCTTCCAGATAGCTGAATATGTGTGGAGGGTCCTGGAAGGTGCTGTGCCCAGAAAAGGTATGAAAGCTCCTCACCCTTTCCCCATGCCTCACCCTATGCATCACTTCCTCTGTACTTTTTGTAATTTCTTTATTATAAACCAATAAGCTAAGTGTTTCCCCGAGTTCTGCGAGCCACTCTAGCACATTAATCAAACTTAAGGAGGGTGTCGTGGAATTCCCAATTCATGACTGGTCAGTCAGAAGCACAGGCAAAACAACCTGGAGCCTGTGCTTGGCACTGGAAGTAGAAGGCAGTCTTATGGGGCCAAGACCTTGCCCTGTAAAACCTGACGCTATTGCCACGTAAACAGCGTTAGAATAGATCTGGAGTGGAGAACACACAGCTGGTATCTGCTGCAGAATTTATGTCCTTGCTTATTGATGGGGAGAAATACCCACGCATTTGGCCACAGAAGTTTTCTGTGTTGATTGTCATTGAGTGAGAGAATAGAAAAAACATTTGACTGTGTTGGTTTTTTTTCCCACCCAATAGCATAAGATATAAAAGTTATTTTTACATGAAGCATAATACCCTAAGATGTAAAAGCCATTTTTTTACATTTTATGTTATTGGGTAGAAAAACAAAAAGCTAAAGACTCCTGAGTTCTAGTTCCAGTGTTGTAACTAACTATCCATGAATCCTTGAACAAGTCCCTTCACTTGCCTGGGTACCTATTTCTAACTTGGAAAATGAGAGAACTGAGTCATTACTGACAATATCCTTCCAGGCATAAGAGAGTAGATAATTTCCTAAACAGGTGACACATTGACTAGTAATTGCTTCAGATGCTTAAAGAGGAAAAAATGTAGAGTGATTAAATAATGTTGTATGGATTATCACCATCTTGCAAGTTTATAAGGCCACATTGGAATATTAAAGGAATTGAGATGCCTTGCAATAAAGAAAGCTCTATAACCAGTGGCTGGGCTTAGTGGCTCACAGCTATCGTTCCAGCACTTTCGGAGGCTGAGATGGGTGGATCACCTGAGATCATGAGTTTGAGACCAGCATGGCAAACAGGGCAACCCCATCTCTACTAAAAATACAAAAATTAACCAGGTGTCATGGCAGGCACCTGGGGTCTCAGCTACTCAGGAGGCTGAGGCAGGAGAATCGCCTGAATCCAGGAGGTGGAGGTTTCAGTGAAACAAGATCACGCCACTGCATTATACCCTGGACGACAGAGTGAGAGTCTGTCTCAAAAAGAAAAAAAAAAAAGAAAGAAAGAAAGAAAAAGAAGAAAAAAAAACCTCTATAACCATCACTCCCAAACTAACTTAGCTGGAAAATTCTCTATATTTATATTACCTGTTAACATCATGTAACACCATTACTCAAAATATACTTTGAAAAATGATGAAAAGGAGTATCAACTGATAATTTTATAATAGCTGTGCGATCTTCTTGTGTATTGTGAAGCAGACAGTAAATTTTCACCACAAGGATGAATTTAAATGAGTGTGGCTATATACTATCCCATTCATTCTAATTTTCAGAGAGAGCTCTAGAATGAAGCAAGCATTAAATGAAAGACGTATAGTGAGGCTTTCATTCCAAAGTATAAAATCTTTGGTCATCAAATCAAAGTGGTGAGCCAATGACTGGGAATAGAGAGGTATGGGAAGTGATTGCCTGAAGGGTATGTGGGGTTCTTCTGGAATGGAAAAGTTCATTATTATTATTATTATTACTGTATAATTATACTTCAAGTTCTAGGGTACATGTACAGAACGTGCAGATTTGTTACATAGGCAAACACCTGTCATGGTGGTTTACTGCATCCCATCAACTCGTCATCTATGTTAGGATTTCTCCTAATGCTATTCTTCCCCTAGCCCCCATCCTCCGACAGGCCCCAGTGTGTGATGTTCCCCTCCCTGTGTCCATGTGTTCTCATTGTTCAACTCCCACTTATGAATGAGAACATGCGATGTTTGGTTTTCTGTTCTTGTGTCACTTTGCTGAGAATGATGGTTTCCAGCTTCATCCATGTCCCTGCAAAGGACATGAACTTCTTCTTTTTTATGGCTGCATAGTATTCCGTGGTATATATGTGCCACAGTTTCTTTATCCAGTCTATCTTTGATGGCCACTTGGGTTAGTTCCAAGTCTTTGCTATTGTGAACAGTGCCACAATAAACATATATGTGCATGTGTCTTTATAGTAGAATGATTTCTAATCCTTTGGGTATATACCCAGTAATGGAATTGCTGGATCAAATGGTATTTATAGTTCTAGATCCTTGAGGAATCGCCACACTGTCTTCCACAATGGTTGAACTAATTTACTCTCCAAAAGTAGAGAGAGACGATGTGGCACAGCATTATGAATACACTAAATGTCACTCCATTTTTAAAAGGGTTAATTGCAGGTTATGTGAATTTCACCTCAATCTAGAAAAATCAAAGAACAGGATCTCTACTAGCACAACTTTACAAGAATTAGGACAAGGCACCACTTTGGGGTAGATACAAACAGAGAAGTGCACAGCTTGTTCAGCCTCCAGCTTGATATAAAAAATAATGTGCTCCTTCCTCTGAGCGGACAAAGCCACAGAGCCCCACATCAGGGCACAACCTGTACATCTATACTCAATGGCCCTACAATGTGTTCAACATTTTATTCCTCTCAGAGCTCTGTCATCTCCCGTCAGGATGGGAGGGTTTAGATTTGACGTACCTTTTAACTAAAAGGACTTTGGCTCAGCAGCACCCCCAGAAAAGCCTGGTTGGCATTCAGGAGGGAAGAGATAGATCACGTGACTTGGCTTAAGATGAACATTGGGGGGTAAGAGGAGGTCCTTGAAGTTTATGTGTTATCCATTCTAGATCACTAGGATGGAAGCCCAGAGCAGAAGCACAGAAGGCCTGCATAGGAATGCCGTATTCATTTGACTGGTACATCAATATATTTTATTTCTCAAGAATCTAAGTAAGGCAGTCACAGCTGAATTAGAGAACTAGTAATATGGAGATGAAGATATTGGGAGAACCCCCAGAACTTGTAACTAGGAAATCAGAACCATGATATCTTAAAGAAAAATAATTTCAAACATTAGTATCTGGGTTAAATAAAAGTCCAATGTTCAAGAATAACAGACAAACATATTCTTTCTTCATATGGTACTGGAATGATCTGGAGCCCATAACTTAAATGAAGTAATAAAAGCCAGAGGGAATAACCACAGTAATAAGAAATGTGGTATGTACACACAACGGAATACTATTCGCTCTATAAAAAGAAGAAAATTCTGTCACACATTACAACATGCCTAAGCTTGGAGGACATTATGTAAAGTGAAATAATATAAATTTCATTTTCTTGACTTACTTAGAGCAGGTAAGGGAATGTTCGGATTAGTCTTCATTCTGTGGCATAGGAGTCAAATTCTCAAGTAAGTGTCATATCTTAAATTTTGCACCGAGGAAGATGTTGAAAACAGTGCCACAGTAAAAAAAAAGCCCAGAAAGGGAGAACTGATAGGCAACGCCACTGCCTCCAGCACCCTTGTCAATAATGTATTTCAAGTCCTCAGATAGCTAAGCCTTCTGGAAAGGGAGACACATCTTTGTGGTGTCAAGGATTCTGCTAAATTTAGATCTGAATTAAATAGCTCCTGAGATTGTTATCATGACACATCCACATATTTCAGGCATCCAACAAAAAACAAATTAGCTAATCAAAGAATCTGTGATGTAGCTTTGCTTGAGAAGAAGCAAGGAATTCACAAAGAATCATCTTTTAAACCAAATTTGATGTGGAATTTGAAAATATGTCTTAGGTCTGACTCAGAAAGAGTTATGATGTAAACTCAAAGCTGTCATTTCTAGAGGAGCGGAACTACCACTTGGTGCACTGGTTCAAAACCCAAGAGTAGCATTGTAGCTTGTATTTCTCTGTAACAGAGCCCATACTCCATGGAAGCCTGGCCACCTTTTATTGCATCTAAACAAAACCTTCATCTTCACCATCATCAGCTGTCTCATTCAAATTATATGAACTTTCCAGTTAACTGGATTAGTCTCTTTCATCTACAATAAACTGCATAGAGCAGATTGAACACACAGTAATAAATCACATATTCCAGTATTGATAAATTAAAAGTATAAATTTATGCAGTTAAAAAACATCTGAATCTATAGAACATCCTAAGATAAAAGATAAGACAAAGTTACAAGTTAAGTAGGTTAACTTTTTTAGTACTTGGTATTTTCTTGAAGTGTCCTTATTATGCTGTCAAAAAAAAAAAAATAGTATCTCAAGAAATGTCTCTGGCAAACAGTATTATTGCTTACCTTAAGCTCTCCCTTCCTTTTATTGGCTCTCAAAAAAGTCTGTAAGTAAGTAAGGAAGCCAAGTTTTACATCTTGTTTTCACCCTTGGAATTTCCTTAGAATTACTGCTTACATTAAAAAAAAAAATGAATGAAAGAACAAAAGAAAAAAAGAAAGAAAGGAAGGAAGGAAAGAAGGAAAAAAAGAATTGACTATAGAGTTTAAAGAGTTTAGTCTGGAATCAGATAGTATGGATTCAAACTTCAGATTCACTAGATAGTAATGTGAACTTGGGTAAATTACTTGTGGCTCAGTTTTCTCACATGGATGATGCAAGTGGCAATGATACCTAGTCCATAGATTGCTGTGAAAATTCAGCAAATTGATACATGCAAAGTACTTGGAACCACTTAGGCACACAATCATTGACGGAAAAATGTTATCAATAACAATTAATGCAAATCCCCCAGGCCCAAGAAAGCATCTGGCCAGCTGAATATAGCCTTGCTTTACAGTCAAAGTGAAGATAAGGAAGGTGAGAAGGAGCCGCAGTTAAAATTGGAGGGAATTAAATTGTCATGTGAGACTGAATAACCCAGTTGCAAGGGTCAACAATACTGAGTAATATTGACAGTCCTTAAACATGAGGCATCAGTCAGTTATTCCTTGATGAAGAGAAAATTTTAACAAACATGGGGAGTTAGGGATTATATTCCTAATTAATGCCAGTGACTACTTGACCATGGTAAAGATGCCTAATCGCATACCAAATAAAATCAATTTTTAAAGGCTTTCAGAAGGTTCAACAAATAACTCAGGGAAAGGCCAATTATCATTCAGAGGCAAATTATCAAACACAAACAAGGAAGAGACTTCAGGAATTATATAAACAGTAGCTGGCCAAGGCTTATAAAAGGCCCAGTGTGGCAGCCATCACCAAAACTCAAAAAATCCTCCAAGCAACCCAACCTTCAGACCAACTCCCAACACCATGGCCTGCTGTCAGAACACCTGCTGCGGATTTCCCAGCTGTTCCACTGGTGCGACCTGCGGCTCCAGCTGCTGCCAGCCAAGCTGCTGCCAGACCAGCTGCTGCCAGCCAAGCTGCTGCCAGACCAGCTTCTGCGGATTTCCCAGCTGCTCTACTGGTGGGACCTGCGGCTCCAGCTGCTGCCAGCCAAGCTGCTGCCAGACCAGCTGCTGCCAGCCAAGCTGCTGCCAGACCAGCTGCTGCCAGCCAAGCTGTTGTCAGACCAGCTGCTGCCAGCCAAGCTGCTGCCAGACCAGCTCCTGCGGAACCGGTTGTGGCATTGGTGGTAGCATTGGCTCTGGCCAGGAGGGCGGCTATGGAGCTGTGAGCACCCGTATCAGGTGGTGCCGCCCAGATTGCCGGGTGGAGGGCACCTGCCTGCCCCCCTGCTGTGTAGTGAGCTGCACGCCCCCATCCTGCTGCCAGCTGCACCATGCCCAGGCCTCCTGCTGCCGCCCATCCTACTGTGGACAGTCCTGCTGCCGCCCAGTCTGCTGTTGCTCCTGCTGTGAGCCCACCTGCTGTGAGCCCACCTGGTAAAAGCCAGGTTGCAGATTTTCAACTTGAAATTTCCACTTCCAGTTCAATTCATGAATTAATTATTTCTTCAAGCACTGTGGACCACTAACAAATTCTTGAGCTTTAATTTGGCTTTTGTTATGGGGGTTACCAAATATTTAGGCCTCAGAATTATCTGATTCCTTTGTGGTCCAGAAAAGACTGTGGTCTTCTCTCTGAGGATGTCAAAATACAAATTTGACGCAAGAAATGAAAAAGCCAATTTACAAGCACCGAAGCCTATGCTCTGAGGCTCAGCATCGCCAAGACCATGGAAGAGCTGTCTGTCCTTCTCAGGACACTCACTTACTCTATTCCACTGCCCTGAATTGCACTCCATATGAAAGAGAAATAATATAACAAGGTCTAATAAATTATAACTATTGGTACAACAAACATATCTCTTTTTTATTGAATGTACTCAGGATGTATATTTCATGGAACACCATATGAAAATGTTTTAATCTGCTTTTGATATCCCTTCTCTTCTGAAACCACATTAGGAAATTTGGTACCCAGAGGTCCATTGGAGGTTAACGCCTGTAAAAAGATACAGTAAAGGTAGTTACTTAGGGCCTCAGAAATGTCAAAGGCTCTGTTGCCATAACCTAACCTTACATGGTGCTTTCACACAACTAGGAAGTTATAGAAGTCAAAATCTCTGCTTGGGTGTGGTGGCTCACACCTGTAATCCCACTTTGGGAGGTCGAGGTGGGCAGATCACAAAGTCAGGAGTTCAAGACCAGCTTGGCCAACATGGTGAAATCCCATCTCTACTAAAACACAAAAAAATAGCTGAGCATGGTGACACGCGCCTGTAATCCCAGCTACTCAGAGGGCTGAGGCAGGAGAATCAATTGAACCCAGGAGGTGGAGGTTGCAGTGAGCTGAGATGACCCCATTGCGTTTCAGACTGGGCAACAGAGCAAGACTTCATCTTGAAAAAAGTTAAAAAGCTCTGAATCTAGAGCCGGGATATTACTTATTTTTCCTTTCTGTTTAGAGAAATGTTCTTTCAGGCATTTGTCAAATGATGGTAATGTATGCTAGTAAATCACACTCTTCCATTCACATGTAACCTTGTGAAGGAGCAGAAGAGAAATATAAGGTGGAAAAGCCTCTCTAAGGAAACATGCTCTCAATTAGATGGAAATTTTTACTCTAAATTTTCTCCCAATTTCTAAACAGAAGTGAAGATAATAATAATTTTACTCTATTTTTAAAATAAACATATATACTTTGGTTTAAAATGCTCACTTCAAAATAAACATATACTTATGTATAAATACGTTTTTATATATAATACACATACAGAATAAATTTATATACATTTAAACACAAGTATCAGAGAATGCTTTATGAATCTGAATAGTTTTAGAAAAAAGATTGGAATTAATTCATGGTTCCTTGGATGTAGAACTAAGAGTATTAAAGATATTTTTTTAAACTTAGGTTAAAATTACAATGCTTTATTCAATGATTAGTGAAAATCAGAAAATTAGAAAGCATGAACAAAGAATAACATTTGCAAAGCAAAGAATCAATTTTCCCAACGTATTATCTAGAGACCTAATCTAATCCAGAAAACTCCCTTGAACAACAGAACAGAAATGAAGACTTGTTCTGTTCTCATGCCCTTTGATCCTAACTACGAATATCGCTACCTAAGAAGCTCCTGCTAAAAGAAAAAATAAATAAAAAATGACAAACAACTTAGTTAAAATGTAAATTTGGCTTTTCAAAATTACTGCACATTGCTAGTCCTTCATTCCTTCTGTTATTAACAAGCATTTACTGAGCATCTATGTGCAAAATGGTGCAGAAGGCACCACAAAGGATGCCCAGATGAACTAGACATAGGCAGATTATGCCTTTAAGGAATGGACAATCTGGTAGATCCCTGAAAGGTGTCTGAGAGATCATCTCATTTTACAGATAATTAAACCAATATTCAGGGAAATTACATGACCTTCTTAAGGTCATTCAGTCACTTAGTGGTAGAAGCCCATTTAATTTAATTAATTTAATTCTCAGTCAAGAATTTGGTCCCATACATCATGTAACCATTTAGATGATTAGCTACAGCTGGACCTAGTTAAGCTTAAAATTCAATGATTGGTTTTAAATTCAAAAGCACAAAAAAAAAACTGAGGTTTTATCAGTGAGGGATAGTTTAATAAATTGTGATATGATCATACTCTGGAATATTATAGAGCTATTAAAAATGAGTAATATGTATAGAATACACCTACAAATTGTGTAATCTACATGAAGGACAAAGATACTATGTGAAAATAAAACTACAGACCTAAATCCCCAATGAATATTCATGAAAAATCCTTAAAAATACAAGCAAATAGAATTAAACAATACATTAAAAGGACCAAATGCTATAATCAAATGAAATTTTATGCTGGAACGCAAGGATGGTTCAACATACAAAAATCAGTCATTAGTAGAATAAAGAGGAAAAAGCACATGCTCATGTCTATTGATACAGAAGAAGCATTTGACAAAATTCAAAACTCATGATTTTTTTTTTAAAAAGCCTAACAAACTAGGGATAGAAGCAAATGACCTCAACATAATTAAAGCTATATATGAAAAGCCCAGAGATAACATCATAATAACAGTTTTTTTCTAAGATTAGGAACAAGACAGACATGCCCACTTTTGCCCACTCTATGTATCATAGTACTAGGAATCCTAGCCAGAGCAACTAGGCAAGAAAAAGAAATAAAATATATCTAAATTGGAAAAGAAATTATCTCCATTCACAGATAACATAACTTTGTATATAAAAAAAAAAATCTGAAGATTTTACAAACACACGCACAGAGTTATAACTACTAAACAAATTCAGTAAAGTTACAGATGCAAAACCAATGCACAAAAATCAGTTGCATTTCTATACAGTAACCATGAAAAATCTATTAAAAAATTTAAAAACAATTTCATTGACAATAACATCAAAATAATGAAATACTTATGGCCAGGTGCAGTGGCTCATACCTGTAATTCCAGCACTATGATAGGCTGAAGCAGGTGGATCACCTGAGGTTAGGAGTTTGAGATCAGCCTGGCCAACATAGTGAAACCCTGTCACTACTAAAAATACAAAAATTAGCCAGGCATGGTGGTGGACACCTATGGTCCCAGCTACTGGGGAGGCTGAGGCATGAGAATCACTTGAACCCAGGAGGTGGAGGTTGCAGTGAGCTGAGATCACACCACTACACTACAGCCTGGGTGACAGACTGAGACCCCATCTCAGGAAAAAAAAAAAAAAAAGAATAAAATACTTAGGAACAAACTTAACCTTAGAGGGGAAAGACTTGTACACCAGACACTACAAAATGTTACTGAAATAAATTAAAGAAGATACAAATAAATGAAAAGGCATCCTGGGATCATGGATTGCAGGATTTAATATTGTTAAGATGTCAATACTACCCAGAGAATCTACAGATTTAATGTAATTTCTATAAAAATCCCAATGAGGTTTTTCAGAAATAAAAAAAAAAGTCCATCCTAAAATACATATGAAATCAGAAAGGGTCCTATATAGCCAAAACAATCTTTAAAATGAACAAAGCTGGTCCACATTTCCCTATTTCAAAATTTACTGCAAATTTACAGTAATCATAATAATGTGATAATAACATAATGACAGACATATAGAGCAATGGAAAAGAATAGAGAGCCCAGAAATAAACCCTCACATACATATATGGTTAAATGAATTTATTTATTTACCATTTATGTCTTCATTTGAATTGACAAAAATTGTATGTATATTTTTGTACAACACATTGTTTTGAAATATGTCTATCTTATACAATGGCTAAATCAAGACAATTAACATACACATTACCTCACATAATTTTTTTGGTTGTGAAAACACAAAATCTATTCTGTTAGCAATTTTCAGGAATATAATATATGGTTATAACTGTGTTATACAATAGATCTCTTGAATTTATTCCTTTTATCTAACTGAAATTTTGTGATCCTTTGACTGACATCTCCTGAAAACACTCCACCACCACCCTAGCCCCTGGTAACCACCATTCTACTTTCTATTTATATGAATTCAACTTTTTAATATTCTACATATAAGTGAGAAAATGCATTATTAGTCTTTTTCTTTGTCTGACTTATTTCACTTAGTATAATGTTCTCAAGTTTCATCTGTGTTGCCCCAAACAGTAGAATTTCCTTATTTTATGACTAATAATATGCCAGTGTGTGAGTGTGTGTATGTGTATCACATTTTCTTTATCCACTCATTCAATGATGGACATGGACACTGAGGTGGCTTCCATATCTTAGCTATTGGGCATAAGGCTGCAATGAACATGGGAATGCAGATGTCTCTTCAAAATACTGATTTAGTTTCCTTTGGGTATATAGACGGAAGTGGGATTGCTTGATTATATGATAGTTCTATTTTTAATTTTTTGAGGAATCTTCATATTGTTTTCCATAATGGCTGTACTAATTTACATTTCCACCTGCAGTGTACCAGAGTTCTCTTCTCTCCACTTCCTCTCCAGCACTTGTTATCTTTTTGTCTTCTTGATAATAACCATTATAACAGATGTGAGACAATATCTCATTGTGGTTGCAATTTGCATTATCTGATGATTTGTGATTTTGAGAACTTTTTCATATATCTGTCAGCCATTTGTAGATCTTCTTTTGAGAAATTCCTATTCAGATTATTTGCCCATTTTTAAATTAGACTGTTTGTTTCCTTAGTACAGGAATTGAGTTGTTTGAGTTTCTTCTACATTTTGGATATTAACCCCTCATCAGATATGTGGTTTGCTAATATTGTCTCCCGTTCTGTGGCTTGTCTCCTCACTCAGTATAGTATTTTATTGGCTATGCAGAAGCTTTTTTGTTTGATGTAATCCCATTTGTCTATTTTTGCTGATGCTTTTGGTTGATGTTCACAATATCATTGGCCAGACAAAAGTCATGGAGCTTTTCCTCTGTTTACTTCTAATAGTTTTATCATTTTGAGTCTTTCTTACATTTCAGTCTTTAATCCATTCTGAGTTGGTTTTTATATATGATGTGAGATAATGGTCTAATGTCATTCTTCTGCATGTGAATGCAGTCAAATAATTTTCAACAAGGATGGCAAGACTATTTGCAAATGGTTAAGATGGCTAACAAAAATCGTTAACATAAATTTTATGGTATGTATATTTTACCACAGTTAAAAATTTGTAAGTACAAACATGTGTAGGAGACTCAAACTTTACTGAAATAGAAGATATATATGTATATATGCTGGTTTATATTTGCAGAAGCAGAGATAAAGGTGTTAAAGAATATGCACCAAATTCTTAATGTTGATTACTTCCAGAGCATTAGTTCTGGAAGAGATATGTTCATCTTCAGGAAAGGGAAAGGATGTTAATTTTTCTTTATATGCTTCTGTCCTCTTTGACTTGTTACAATGTGTATCCATTACTAGCACATATGTTTAAGTTAATCAAGTCAGAAAACAATCTATAAGCAAAAGTCATTAAAGGTTTTAGTTAGCCGTAGGTACACTGACCACTACTGAAGGCAAGAATATTAGATAGAGCTCTGAGGATCCTATAACTTGCACAAATTGATCATAAAAAAGCATACTTCGTTTGAAAGTTGATACATCAAGTTATAGTTCATATTTTGATGACACTGCTATTAGTCTTTCCACATCTAAACAAATTGTTTATAAAACGATAATCATGGTTAAGTGACCACTTAGGGAAAAATGGTAAGTTAAGATAAATATTGCCTAAAGGTTATCAAAGGAAAAGTATGACAAAGCATGCCAGGGCAACACTTGGTTCAAGGCTAGTCTCTCATGTGACTTGCATAGAGAGACACTTCTGTGATTGGCTTCCATGATGAGCCTTCACTTAGTCTAGAGGGCAAAGAAGAAACATAATAAGACTTAATTTTAATTGAACAATGGACAAAGCAGGCAATTGCAATGTTGAAATGTTATTTACAACTTTCTTTCTTCGTTTTTTTTTTTTTTTTTTTGAAAGAATGAAGTAAAACTCTCTTTATTTGCCTAAGACATGATTCTATACGTAGAAAATTCTAAGGATCCAAATACAAATAACAAGTCTATTTGAATGGGATATTTAGAAACTCTGTACTATCTTTACAATAATTCTATAAATCAAAAGCCATTTTAAAACTAAAAGTTTATTTTAAAAAGAAAAAATTAGTTGAACTAATAAAGGAATTTACTATCCAAATAATAAAAGAGTTCAGCAAAATCACAAATGAACTTACAAAACTTACAAGATCAACTTACAAAAATCATCTTGTTTTTATATATACTTTAGGTTCTGGGATATATGTGCAGAACATGCAGGTTGTTACATAGCTATACACGTACCATGGTGGTTTGCTGCACCCATCAACCCCTCATCTACATTAGGTATTTTTCCTAATGCTATCCCTCCCCTAGCTCCCTACTCCCCAACAGGCCCCAGTATGTGATGTTCCCCTCCCTGTGTCCCTGCGTTCTCATTGTTCAACTCTTACTTATGAGTGAGAACATGCTGTGTTTGTTTTTCTGTTCCTGTGTTAGTTTGCTGAGAATGATTGTTTCCAGCTTCATTCATATTCCTGCAAAGGACATGAACTCATTCTTTTTTATGGCTGCATAGTATTCCATGGTATATATGTGCCACATTTTCTTTATCGGGTCTATCATTGATGGGCATTTGGGTGTGCTCCAAGTCTTTGCTATTGTGAATAGTGCTGCAATAAACATATTGTGCATGTGTCTTTATGGTAGAATGATTTATAATCCTTTGGGTATATACCCAATAAAGGGATGGCTGGGTCAAATGGCATTTCTAGTTCTAGATCCTTGAGGAATCACCACACTGTCTTCCACAATTGTTGAACTAATTTACACTCCCACCAGCAATGTAAAAGCATTCCTGTTTCTCCACATCCTTTCCAGCATCTGTTTTTTCCTGACTTTTTAATAATTGCCATTCTACCAGTGTAAGATGGTATCTCATTGTGGTTTTGGATTTGCATTTCTCGAATGACCAGTGATGATGAGTTTTTTTCATATGTTTGTTGACCGCATGAATGTCTTCTTTTGAGAACTGTCTGTTCATATTCTTTGCCTACTTTTTGATGGGATTGTTTGTTTTTTTCTTGTAAATTTGTTTAAGTTCCTTGTAGATTCTGGATGTTAGACCTTTGTTAGATGGATAGATTGAAAAAATTTCTCCCGTTCCATAGGTTGCCTGTTCACTCTGACAGTAGTTTATTTTGCTGCGCAGAAGCTCTTTAGTTTAATTTATAACTTTCTAAACACTTCAGGTATTAGCCAGAGACTCACATTGAAATTGACATCAAGGAAAGATGTTAGGTAAATGTGCAGCTCTAGGGAACATATAAAACGACAGATATAGAAGGTGCAGCCCAAGCTCAGAAACCTCTCTTCACAACACAGCTCTCAACCCAATTCCTGACACCATGACCAGGTGTTCCACCAGTGAGACCTGTGGCTTCAGCTGCTGCCAGCCAAATTGCTGTGAGACCAGCTGCTGCCAGACAAGCTTCTGCCAGCCAAGCTGCTGCCAGACTGTGGCACTGGCTGTGGCCAGGAGGGTGGCTGTGGCATTGGCAGTGGCATTGGCTGTGGCCAGGAGGGTGGCTGTGGAGCTGTGAGCTCCCACACCAGATGGTGCTGCCCAGACTGCCACATGGAGGTCACCTGTCTGCCCCCCTGCTGCCTGGAGAGCTGCATGCCCCCATCCTGCTGCCAGCTGCACCACACCCAGGCCTCCCACTGCAGCCCTTCTTACTGTGGACAGGCCTGCTGCTGTCCAGCCTGCTGCTGCCACTGCTGTGAGCCCACCTGCTAAAAGCCAGGTTGCTGACCACTTAAGGATGAAAGGGGAAGCACAGCAAAATTGTGCTGATTTCTGAAGAATTGTTCAATTTTACTTGGATGCTAAGTACCATGATGTTGCTAAGCTGTTCAGAAATCATGAAACTCCTAGCTAGCACACTGTGGATGTGCTGAATTTGCTCACTGAAACATGTACCAATCAGTGTTCTGGATAGCTTGCCTTGCTTGAGCAGAGGACCAGGATGGAATAGTTCATCATTTCAATGACATCTCTGCTCCCCCAACTCTCTCTTGATGCCCATGCATCTTCAGAACTGATTTTTCCTTGAATATCACCGATTAATTCAAGTTATATATCTTAATGTGCAAAGCAAACTGAGTTATGTCCTTCTACCTTTAAGCGTGTCTTCCTATAGTTGGAATTCAAGAGTGGATTTGCATTTTATTAATAATACCAAAGCATACCCATAAAGCCTAAACCAGAAAGGTTAAACACAAAGTGAATTATGCTTGAATCCATCAGCTTAAAAGTGCTCCATGAATTAAATAAATTTTTATAGTTATTCAAATACTTATATGCTTTGATCGATTATATTAGGTCTAGATCAATAAAGGTTGACCTGTAGCTAAAATTTTAAGGTTGATCAAAGCTACTGATTTCTACCTAAATGTACTTCTACCATCTTTTGTCTCCTTCCATTTAATATACTAGATGTTCTCCTTCATTTATGCCCAACATCTAAAGAAATTGTACTGCCTTCTAAGTAGATTTTAAAATATCTACTAGATACTACCTATTTTCCAAGAGTATTTCGGTTTAATTTCTATACCTTAGACTTCCACATTCTTCCCATTGATCCCTGAATTGCTCTGTAAGCTTCAACTCCCACTATTCACCTTCATTTGATGTAGGTATGCATAAGGTATATCTCTAGTCTAAATGACAACAGAACAAACAGCTATAAAAGCACCCACTGATTTCTACCATTGCCATTTGTCAGACAGATGCATTAGAATTCTGAAACAACTCTGTTATATTTTGTACTTTGCAACCCAACTTAAAAGATGTGCTCTTAAGAAGTTGTCACAACCTAGAACAAAACAAAATAGCTTTTACCATTTAATTTTTAAATCCCTCATTAGGCATTAGAGTACAATATACAAAATACGATAGGATGCAAATATAGAACATACTAAGAAACACATTTTCCATACTATTTACAAGCTCCCGGAACTTATCTCTCTCATTTAATTGGTGGCTATGATGGATTATACACAAGATTATGCGATTTCCAAGAGGAATAAAGTAGATGGCAGTACTTTCTTCAAAGTGTCATAACTCCTAGATGTTTTTTCCTTAGCGCAGTTCAGCTACTTAATTTAAAAAAGAAAATACACATTTCTTAGTCTTTTTACAGCAAATAACGAGACTCTTTCATAAGAAGTACTGCAGCTTGAAAGTTCTCTTTAATTGTGTAGGAGTGGTGTTGACATCCATGAATCGTGCCTTTTACTCCACCTATTCAATTAACATTTATTGAATCAGATTCAATAAGCATTTAAGGTTCTACCACAAGCTAAGCATTCTGCTGGATACCTTCCTATATACTGTGTCAATTTGGTTCCCAAGAAAAGATTTCTGCCCTGGAACAGGAATAATACTTACACATTCCAAATTGGTTGAAATTAAAGGAACTATAATCAGTAATTCAATATGACGTTGGAATAAAACAAGGTGAAATCTATGAATTATGCATGACCAAAGGTACGCTTTCAGTTCAGTAGATATCCAGGTATCCAAAATTCAATAGGATTTAGCCTATATATCCAGGAAGAAAAAATAATAGTTAAACAGCACAATTGTTACTCTTAGCCTTAGAGAACTGGATAGATTGTCACGTGGAATAACTAATATATAAAATGAGAGCATGTATTTGGACTAAGATGGAAGGACTCTTTGAACATGGGAAACCACAAACATACTCCAAAGAGCAAAGGACTGATATGAGGAGTCCCGAAGAAACTATAAAACAGAGTAATTTCTAAACTGTTGCTCACAATGTGTCATAAGTGTTTCAATGTAAGCCAATCAGAGACCCACTGAGAAACAAATTTAAACAAAAACAAAGAAAATATGTTAAGAATTTTGTAAACAGTAGCTGGCTCAGATATATAAAAGGGCCAGTGTGGAAGTCACCACCAAAACTCAGAAACTCCTCTCAGCAACCTAACTCTCAACCCAAATCCCGACACCATGGCCTGTTGTCAGACCAGCTGCTGCCAGCCAAGCTGCTGCCAGACCAGCTTCTGCGGATTTCCCAGCTGCTCCACCGGTGGGACCTGCGGCTCCAGCTGCTGCCAGCCAACCTGCTGCCAGACCAGCTGCTGCCAGCCAAGCTGCTGCCAGACCAGCTGCTGCCAGCCAACCTGCTGCCAGACCAGCTGCTGCCAGCCAAGCTGCTGCCAGACCAGCTCCTGCGGAACCGGCTGTGGCATTGGTGGTAGCATCGGCTCTGGCCAGGAGGGCGGCTATGGAGCTGTGAGCACCCGTATCAGGTGGTGCCGCCCAGATTGCCGGGTGGAGGGCACCTGCCTGCCCCCTTGCTGTGTGGTGAGCTGCACGCCCCCGTCCTGCTGCCAGCTGCACCATGCCCAGGCCTCCTGCTGCCGCCCATCCTACTGTGGGCAGTCCTGCTGCCGCCCAGTCTGCTGTTGCTCCTGCTGTGAGCCCACCTGCTGTGAGCCCGCTTGTTGAAAGCTGGCTTGCTTATTTTCAGTTGCATAGGTCACAGTATCTCTGAACTGTTCATCTCTTGACCACTCCTGGACCACTAGCAAGTTCTCAGACTTTTATTGCTTTTCCTGTGATGGAGACTACTAAGTATATGAGCTCACAATTCTACCTGACTCCATTCTACAATGAATACCTTGACCCTTCACTGGGGACACAGAAAGGCTACAAAGCCACCTGTGGATCATCAATTTTGCTTGGGATATACTGTTTCTCATATTACTGCAGGATTAAAAATTACCCACATGTTGTGGAATTTATCCATGAGAACTATCCAGAAGTCTAATGTTTCCATGCTTTATAATCTATTTTTATCTTCTATTTACCTAAAATTTTTTGCAACATCAAAGACACCAAATTATACCCAAGTGACATTCCTTGGATGTCACCAGAGAAAATCGAAGCTCATCACCCAACATTCAGCTTCTAAGAAGTAGGCCGGACTTTCTACATTTTAACATCTGATCCATTCCTTGGTTTTTGGATCATAATAATCTTGCCTGCTGGACTATTTCAGTTATATCTGTGATACCGTATCTTCTGTCATTTCTTAATAAACATTATGTACTAGGCAAAGAAACCTTGGTTTTCGTTTTCACTTGTACATCCTCTGGTTTAACTGATTATAATTTAAGAATGTCTACTTGAGGCCAGGAGCAGTGGCTCACACCTGTAATCCGAGCAATTTGGGAGGCTGAGGCGGGTGGATTACTTGAGCTTATGAGTTCAAGACCAGCCGGGGCAACATGGTGAAACCCTGCCTCTACTAAAAATACACACACACACACACACACACACACACACACACAAATAGCTGGGTGTGGTAGTGTACACCTGTAGTCTCAGCTACTCAGAAGGCTGAGGCAGGAGAATCACTTGAACCTGGGAGGCAGAGGTTTCAGTGAGCAAAGATTATGTTACTGCACTTCATTACACTATGCAATAAACTGCAGTAAGCGCTCAAAATGGCAATTTCCTATATATGACACCAAAGAAGACATAAGGTGCACTAAACAGTTAAGTAATGGCAAAAAGACACACATTTCCAAGTCCAAAGCAAAAGTGGGAACCTTTCTTTTATTGAAGATCATTGACCATATAAGCGTAGGTAGACAGTAAAAGGGATGAAGGAAGATGAATTAAGGTATTAAAAGACGGAGAAAAGAATGAAAAGGGGAAGAAAAGAACAAAATAGAGGCGAAAAGACAGAAAGAAGACACAGTGAAAAAGGCTAAGTACAAGAGGCTGAAAGAAAAGGAGGAAGAGTGATGGAGAAGACACACCTGAAGGGGAAGGAGGTGAACCAGCATAGCCTTGTCAGTACCATATGCTGTGCACCTGCCAAGTACACATCATGCCAACTTTGGTTCACATAACATTTGTGTCAATCCTGTGAAATAGATATGGTGATCCTGGCTCATAGATAAGTAAGTCTAAAAGAAGCTAAATAGCGTGCTTACAGTCACATAATTCATGAGTTTAGAAAGAAAACTGAAATCTGTCTGACTCCAAAATTTATGAAGAGAATGAAATTAAGAGAATAGATATAAACGAAAGTGTGGGAAAGTTTATAAGATTTAAAGATGGCTATTTCAGAGACTGTGGGCTTCAGAATGAGTTACTCTGTGCTGCTGGTTAAGCTGTAGTCTCAGAACTCCACACCCTCCCTTCTATACTCAGATTTTTGATGTTAGAGATAAAATCTGCAAGCCACATTGTTGCTTTTCCAGCTCTCCATGTTAGGCCTTGCTCCAGCCAGCCAGCACCCTATCCTCAGAGGTCTGAGTCAGATCCGCTGGGACTGTCCTTCAAGTTCAGAGACATCAGAACCTGTCGAGAAAAAACACGACTTTCAGTTCTGCAGGACTCATCCTCTAAACTTACACATTATAATGACTCCTAACTCTTCCTTTGTTCCTTCAACCCTAGAGTCAGTAGCTGCTTCCTATAGTTGCTACTTCCATGTTCAAATAATTGGCATGGTTTTTGTCTTCTCAGGAGAAGCTGACTGATAGAAAAGTTGTCTTTAAGGGTGCATATAATTACACTGGGCCCACCTGGATAATTCAGGATACTCTCACTATCTTGAAGTCAACTGATTAGTAACCTTAATTACATTTGAAATGTCCCTTTTTTTATGTAGCAGAATGTATTCATGGTCATAACACAAGGGCTCAGAAGCCTTGGAGGCTGACATTTTACCAATCACAGGAGCTATTAGACACTAAGTTGACACTGATTTCTAGAGACCCAAATGCCCTGGTCCTCCAATAAAAAATGGTGACTTTTGGTGGCCAGATGGTAGGTAGAATCTTGGTCTACATTTGAACCACAGTGGATTCAGTGAACCTGCAGACCAATTCCCCAGTTTGTGAATGTATAATTGGAATAATCATGCTTGACAACTGGTAGAATCCCTACATTGACACACTGGCCTGAGGAATAAAGCTCATTTGGTAAAAAGGGCCAAGATAAAGCCCCCAGAAGTTTCCCTTGATATAAAAACAGTAAATAAAAAATAAGACTATATTGATGGGAAAATTTTGAAGATGGGTGCCATTGTCAGAGACTTGGAAAAAGCTGGGTGATGATACCAGCCATCTCCCCATTGAGCTTACTTGTTATCCTGTGGAGAAAGCAGATAAATCTTGGAGTATAACAGGACAATTAAGTATTATTATTTTAAATGAATTCAGGTGGTGACCTCCACTGGAGATGATGTTCCAAATGTCATATCTTGAATGGAGCAAATGAACACAGCCCCTGGCAACTGGTATGCAGCTACTGACATGAAAATTCATTTTTCCCTGTATCAAGGCAACCAGAAGTACTTTTCTTTGACCTAGCATAGCCAACAGGAACCTTCCAAGCATTGCCTCAGGGCTATGCCAACTATCTTGTTCTCTGTCCTAATATACTCATGGCCTTAATCATCTTGACTTTCCTTACAACATCATAGCAGTCTACTACATCAGTGACCTCATGCCGGTTACATGTGACGAGCAGGAAGTAACAAGCACCTTAGAGGACTTAGTGAAGCATTAATGAACTCCAGGGTGAGGAACAAACTCTACAAAAATTAAAAAGCTCATCACCTCAGTGAAGTTTCTTGGAGTCCAGTTGTTGGGAACACATTGAGATATCCTTTCCAAGGTGAAAGAAAAACTGCTGTATTTTAAGCTAACTTCAGCTAAAAAAGAACAACCCTTGGTGGGCACTTTTGTATTTTGGGATCAACATATACCACATTTGAGTGTGCTATTTCAACCCACTTAATGAATAACTCAAAATGCATCCAAGTTTTAGCGGGGACAAGAGCAAGAGAAAGCTCTAAAGAAAAGTACCAGCTACGGGTGTGGTGGCGTGTGTCTGTAATCCCAGCTACTCCAGAGGCTGAGGCAGGAGAATAGCTTGAACCCGGGAGGAGGTTGCAGTGAGCCTGGATCACGCCACTGCACTTCAGCCTTGGCAACAGAACAAGACTCTGCCCTAAAAGAAGGAAGGAAGGAAGAAAGGAAGGAAGGAAGGAAGGAAAGAGAGAGATAGAGAAGGAAGGAAGGAAGAAAGAAAGGAAGAAAGGAAGGAGTCAGGTACAATTCAGGCTGTTATTTCATTTGAGCCTTATAAACCAGCACATCCAGCAATATTTGAAGTGTCTATGGAAAATACATGCTCAGTGTGTGTAGACTCTGGCAAGCATCAGTAGAAGAATTACAGGTCAGACTTACAAGGTTTTGGAGAAAATCCATGCCCCTTTCTGAAAATAACTGCTGTCCTTTTGATCAACGACTTCTGGCTTGCTAGCGGGCAAGAACTGGAAAAAATGGAATGATCGTGCAACCTGAGCTTCTCCTGCTGAGCAGAGGCTATCTACGTACCAAACCATAAGGTTGGATGTACACAGGAGCAATCTATTAAGGCAGGGGCCCCTAATCCCTGGGCAGTGGATTGATACCAGTCCATGGCCTGTTAGGAACCAGGCCACACAGCAGAAGGTGAGCCACCGGCCAGGAGATTTACTGTCTGAACTCAACCTCCTGTCAGATCAGGGGTGGCATTAGATTCTCAGAGGAACGCAAACCCTATTGTGAACCATGCATGTGAAGGGTCTAGGTTGTGGGCTCCTTATGAGACTCTAATGCCTGATGATCTGTCACTGTCGCCTATTACTCCCAGATGGGGCTGTCTAGTTGCAGGAAAAGAATCTCAGGGCTCCCACTGGTTCTACATTATGGTGAGTTGTATAATTATGTCATTGTATATTACACTATAATAATAACAGAAATAAAGTGCACAATAAATGTAATACACTTGAATCATCCTGAAGCATCCCCATTCATTGGTCCATGGAAAAACTGTCTTCCATGAAGCTGGTCCCTCGTGTGGAAAAGTTGTGGACCTCTGCCATATGCCATACCCCAAGCTAAGTAAGCTTCATATGAACCTAATTTCATTGAATACTTACATCAATCCTGTAAAATAGATATTGTTACCTTACCTTTGTAGATGAGGAAATGAAACCTAAATGGGGTTCAATAGTTTGTTCATAAGTAAAAAAGAGAAACACAAATCCAACTCTGACTCCCAAAATTCATGACGAGACCATGAAGTTAAGGAATTGGAAGGAAAGACTGGTGTTGGGAGATTCAGAAGATCTAACTACATCTCTTTGGGAAGCTGTGGGCTTCAGAATAAGTTCCTCTTTGTGCCCATTTAGTTCATCTTTCTCTGCTCTAAAACCTCCCTGCTGTACTCTGCAAAACACACTATGGCATTGCCCATGGCTCTGTTGGGCTTTTCCACCAGGGGGTGACAGAGGAAAACTGCAAAGCTGGAAGAGGAGGACGGGACTCCTTCCTTCCTTCCGCTTCACTGGGTCTTCCTGTATGCTAAGCAGATCCCAGGATAATCGCCCCAAGTCACACTTCTCACTCCAGTAGGTGCAGATCCTGCCCATGGCAGCACATGAATTCAGTTTGCAGTTTTCTCAACACTTGTAGAACCGGCTTTATTGTCTCCTTTGCAGGACCAACCAGTCCTTTCTTAAAACAAGAGTTTCAGCTCTTCAGGGAATATCCCTAAGTTTTAATTCCTTGCCTCTTCCATTTAAAGACAGGCCTTTAAAGCTTCCCTTGAAAACTAGGGCTTTCTGCAGTTCCCACATTTGTGGTATCTTAGGGTTCTCTCTCTCTCTTTTTTTTTTTTCTTTCTTTCTTTTTTTTTCTTTTTTGAGATGGAATCTCACTCTGTCACCAGGCTGGAGTACAGTGGCATGATCTCGGCTCACTGCAACCTCCACCTCCTGGGTTCAAGCAGTTCTCTGCCTCAGCCTCCTGAGTAGCTGGGATTACAGGTGCCCACTACCATTCCCGGCTAATTTTTGTGTTTTTATTAGAGAAGGAGCTTCACCATGTTGGCCAGCCTGGTCTTGAACTCCTGACCTCGTGATCCACCCACCTTGACCTCCCAAAGTGCTGGGATTACAGGTGTGAGCCACTGTGCCCTACTTAGGATCCTCTTTTAATCCTTTCAGTTACCTAGCGAACAATTTAAAAATTCTTCATATGAATTTTAAAAGGA